TCTGCAAATTCCCACGCATGTCTCATCATTAGCCTTTGAGCCACGTGCCCACCCTGAAGTGATCCCAGATTCCAGAGAGAAAACCAATGTGAGCACACAAGTACATTTAAAGTGCAGTCCTAAAAAAAATCAGATATCTGCCCACAAGGAAGAAGAGGTGGTGGGGCTTGGAAGGTATGCGACCATGGCTGAGACAGCAGGAGCCATGCTGGAACTCCAGGCTCTAAAGGTTCTACTCTTTTTTTTTTTTTTTTTTTTTTTTTAAGATGGAGTTTCGCTCTTGTTACCCAGGCTGGAGTGCAATGGCACGATCTCGGCTCACTGCAACCTCCGCCTCCTGGGTTCAGGCAATTCTCCTGCCTCAGCCTCCTGAGTAGCTGGGATTACAGGCACACGCCACCATGCCCAGCTGATTTTTTGTATTTTTAGTAGAGACGGGGTTTCACCATGTTGACCAAGATGGTCTCGATCTCTTGACCTCGTGATCCATCCGCCTCAGCCTCCCAAAGTGCTGGGATTACGGGCGTGAGCCACCGCGCCCAGCCCTCTGCTCTTAACCTCGAAGATTCCGCTTTCCATTATGATGAAAGCATTCCAGGTCTGCACTGCCCAGCCTGGTAGCCGCAGCCTCACATGACCACAGAGCACCTGAAAAATAGTTCATATGCTAAGAAAGTCCATTTAATTTTTTAACTTCAATTTACTTAAATTCAAAGAGCCACTGGGTCCACACAGTGGCTCCTGTATTGACAGCATAGGGCCAGCTTGTTAGTGGCATCATTTATTACTTTGGGCAGCATTTCTATGGGAATAGCCATATCCTATAGGTCTATAATGCTGTAGAAATAGAATGTGTGGTGTAAACAGAACTTAAAATTTTAAGTAGCCACGATTACAAAGAAAAGAGAGAAACAAGTAAAATTCATTTTATAATATGCTTTATTTTATCTCTATTTCCAAAACATTATCATCTCAACATGTAAGAAATATAAGAAGCATGAATGGGATATGTTGCATTCTTTTGTTCATCATCAGTGTTTGAAATCCCTTGTGCATCGGACAGAGCGCCTGACTATTTGAACTCATCATATTTTCAGCGCCGCATACATAGCCCATGTGGCCAGCACTGGTTTAGAGATTTCAGAAAGCATCCGTGGAAAATTCTCTTTCCTGATCCTCATTCACTACCCCGGGAAGTGGCCAGATGAGGAAGCAAGGCCTAGAAGGGCCCAGCCAGTGGCTCTCACACTCTTCATCCGAGTCCCTCCAGGGCAGGTTCACTCACAGATGGCTGGGCGCCACCCCTACATGTGCCATCCCGCAGGTCTGGGCAGGCGCCAGGATGCACATTCCTAACCGGGGAGGCTGATGCTGCCAGTGCAGGGCCATGTTTTGAGAAGCATTGCTCCAAGGGTTCCACCCACACTCACACCCCAGTAAGAAGAGGGCTCAGAACTGAAATCCCTGCTTTCCGTCTTCCATCTCATTCTCTATATGCACAGACATAAGGCCAGGTTGCCAAGACAGTCTGGAAACAGCTACCAAAGAAAAGAGGTGCCGCTCACAGTTACTCCAATACGCTGCAGACGATGACAGCAGAGTCTACCTAACTTGGATACTTTGTAAGGATTGGACCAATGTGACCTATCCCAGACCTGTGCCTTTCTCTGGCTGACTTTCTTTCTTTCTTTTTTTTTTTAATCTCATATGATTTTGGGTTCCATTTCTTGAAAAAAAAAATCATTTGATGAAATTTTACGGAAGTCCTCACCTTGATATTTGGTGCAACAGTTGAGTCTTTGAGGTAGAGCTGGGGGCTCTGTCATTGCAATGTCTAGGATGTCCCTGGAGTTCAGGTGGAAATTTGAAGACACTTGCCCAATCCACAGAAGTGACTTCAGACAATGTCCTGCACTTAGCCCTGGGTAAATCATGCTTTTAATATGCTCAGTGGCAGAACTGCTCAAAGCCATTCTGAGCTGCTGAGAGCACTTCAGATTATTTTCCACACCAGCAAGTGACAGAATTGGCTCTTAGGGACTGTTGTCATTCTGCTGAGAGCCAAGACTCCTCCTGGCACACTGTGATTTGCAGGGAAAGCTGTGACCTGTGGGCCAGAGGCGCTGAAAGCTTGTTTGAGGTTGCAGGTACCTCCAAGCTTGAGCAGCAGTTTTGAAGTATGGAGATGGGAGGCGAGTTATTCACATCTTTAACAAAGGAGCTGCTGCTTCTGGCTTTGAGATGTGCTGAGAGGCCCCTGGTTCACCATCTCATCACTGGGCTGGAAGCTGCACAGGGCCCAGCTGGGCCTGCAGGCAGTGCTTTCAGCACCCGGAGGAGCAGGTCCCTTACACTCAGCCTATCTTTGGCTCCATGCCACTCTCGACAATGTGCAGGACAGTCACTTGGGTCTGATGCTAGAATTTAATCAGCAGATAAGGAACAGGCCCCAGTGTGTCCTGGGCAAAAGGATGAGCTGGGTGTGCTAAAAAGCATCTCAAAAACAGACTTTGTTTTCCTGTGTTTTAACTCAGTGTGAACATTTCTTAGGCCTCCTCTCCTGTGGGAGAAAGGTAGTGGTTGCCGTCCGGTTCCGGTGCTTCTTTAGTGTCCTGGGCAAGAACAGCTATGGGCACCCCACTACCCCAGCCTCTTCTGTCCCGGGATCCCCAGGCCACCCTTCAGCAGTCTCCAGCTTCCAGCCTCGGAGCTGGGGGCTCTTTTTGGCTTTCCTGATGTTTCTCCTGACCTCTTCTGCTGGAGCTTCTTAAGGCACAGTAATATCTGTACATCATAATTGGTCCCCAGGCTGCTGCCTCTCTGTCTCTCCATCGAATTAAATGTTGCATCCTTGCACTTTAGAAGTACCAGGGACCCTTCAAAATATACAGATACCTGGGCACCACTCCAGATGAATAAGTCAGAGTCCCTGAAGACAGAGCCCAGATATCCATGTGTGAGGCTTTCAGGTAATCCCAGCATGCAGCCTGTCCTGGAAAGCTCTGGATTGAGGTTGAGGCCCCCATGCTGCAGAGGGGCCCTAGAGCACAGAGAAGTGAGTTCCTGGAAGCACTAGCTGTGTACCACATAGGGCTAATAACCACGGGGACAGTCGCGCGTGCTTCTCTTCTTAGATGCCAGCTTACTATGCTTGGAGGCATACCCATGTGCATGGGGAGAGGAGGGCAGAATTGGGAAACTTTAGGAGAAAAACCTAAAGTAGACACAGGAAAGATTCCAGGGACTCACACCTGAGTCAGGAGAAGAAGAAATACTTTCTCAGGAAAGGGAAGGGGCTGAGTGTTCAATGGGCAGAGAGGACAGCAGAAGAGAAGAGACTAAAAGGACAAGACCGCCTCCAGCACCTCCACACTGGGCCCTGGAGGGGCTGTCTGCAGAGAAGCCACCTAAGGGTCTTCCCAAGACCGAGATGAAAGAGAAAAGCTCCTATATTCCTCTTCCCTCCTAAATCTGAGTTTGCCCTTGTTCCCTTCCACCAAAGGATGGTGCCATGTAGAGTGACAAAGGTGTCATCGCCTTCCTCTTTCTGCGGGAAGGGATTCTCTCTTAGGGACAAAGAGGAAAGGACAGACCAACCTATGGAGTGGAGGAGTGCTAGACCACATCCTCCCAACACGTCTATTTCTGGGAACAGCTGTTGAGGTCAGCTATGGGGATGCACTGGTGCTGACTGGGCCCATGCTCCCATTCAACGCCTGGATAAACAGCAGTCAGCAGCTTCCCCTACCCCCCACCCTTGGAAAGGCTTCCTCCAGTTGTATCCTGACTCCCTCCTCTCCATCGCTGTCCCAGCCACCCAGCTGAGAGCTGAGACTTCACCACCCCAGGTGGCCAATTCTAGACCCACCAAAGGCCTTTCTGGCTGGCTGGAGATTAAAGGGGGCCACCACCCCACGGAGATGGGGCCAAAGACAACCAGGCTCCAGAAAGTCAGCGCTACTTTGAGAATAACTTTCCCAGGCCAATCCCCACTTCAGGACGTTGCTGCGGGACTAGGGCTGGAGCTGTCAGCTGCTCCTGGGTGCCTTGCCAGGGGCGAGTGAAGTCACTGTCTCTTGAGTTTAGAGGGAGAAGGGGAATCCCAGGCTGGAACTCCCTTCTTTCCCAACCTCTCGACCACTGCCCTCCCCAGGCATATTTCAGAGGCCAGGGATGGAGACCAGCGAACAATGACTGAACCAGGGTGCAGGGTGAGGATTTCGAGAAGTCCGCTTCTGCAGCTGCTGCCACTTCCCAAGGGAGCTAACACAACAGGCTTGGCCTTCTTTGGTGGCATCTCTGCCTCCACCTGTCTGTCTCCATTCCCTGCGCCCGCCCCACTTAACTGCTCAGAGATAGAAGTTACAAGGTAATCTTGTAACAGCGGCACCTGCAGTTGTCCAGGGTGGATTGGGGAGGGGGAAAGGAGTGGGGAGCGGTGGGGAAAACTGGACATCCTGACAGACCTGGAATTCACCAAGACGTCAGTGGAAGGCTCAGGTCTGCCTCTATAAAATGGACTTAGCCATTGGCCAGGATTAAAGGGCAGGGTGAGGGGACGCCAAGTACAAGGCTAGTGGCTCCCAGCTTCCGGGTGGTCCCTGGTCAATGCCGGCCACCTCTTTACCCAAAGGAAGGACTCCAGGACCTTCAGCCCCGCTGCCTCAGTCCCCCATAACAGAACCGGGAACTGGACCTCAAAGGGCTGATGGGGAAAACAGGATCTGAATAGAGGCGCAAAGGAAAGAGGTCAGGCGGGTGACCCCGGGAGGGCTGGGCGGGGCGGGGCTACCGGTAATCCTGGAGCGGGACTGGAGACCTAGGAACCTGGGGCGGAGTTGGCAGCGGGGAGGGGGCGGTGGAGGTGGGAAAACGGGACGGGGCCGGAGAGGACTCCAGGGCGGGGTGAGGCCAGGCGCCTACACCCAGGAGCTGGGGCGCCGAGGGGCGCGGGCCCCAGGGGTGCGAGCCGGCAGGGTGCCCGCAGCGGTGGTGCGCGCGGCTCGGGGATTGGCGGGCGCTCCGAGGTTCCCGCAGCTCTTCAGCGGAGCCGGGAAGAGCCGCGCGTCTGCGCGCCAGCCCCCGCCCCGGGCCCGCCGCCCGCGCTCTCTCGCGCAGCGCTCGCTTCTCCGAGCTCCGCAGCCCGGCCCGACACCCCTGGACATGAGCACCCCCTCGACGCTGCCCCCTGGGGGCGAGGAAGGGCTGGACACTGCCTGGCCCCCGGCAACCAACGCCAGCAGCGCCCCGGTGGAGGAGGAAGAGGTGGTAGCCGCGCGCGGGGGCGCTGGGGCGGCGGGCATGGTCGCCATCCAGTGCATCTACGCGCTGGTTTGCCTGGTGGGGCTGGTGGGCAACGCCCTGGTCATCTTCGTGATCCTTCGCTACGCCAAGATGAAGACGGCTACCAACATCTACCTGCTCAACCTGGCGGTCGCCGACGAGCTCTTCATGCTGAGCGTGCCCTTCGTGGCCTCGTCCGCCGCCCTGCGCCACTGGCCCTTCGGCTCCGTGCTGTGCCGCGCGGTGCTCAGCGTCGACGGCCTCAACATGTTCACGAGCGTCTTCTGTCTCACCGTGCTCAGCGTGGACCGCTACGTAGCCGTGGTGCACCCTCTGCGCGCGGCGACCTACCGGCGGCCCAGTGTGGCCAAGCTCATCAACCTGGGCGTGTGGCTGGCGTCCCTGCTGGTCACTCTCCCCATCGCCATCTTCGCAGACACCAGACCGGCTCGTGGCGGCGAGGCCGTGGCCTGCAACCTGCACTGGCCACACCCGGCCTGGTCGGCAGTCTTCGTGGTCTACACTTTCCTGCTGGGCTTCCTGCTGCCCGTGCTGGCCATCGGCCTGTGCTACCTGCTCATCGTGGGCAAGATGCGCGCCGTGGCCCTGCGCGCTGGCTGGCAGCAGCGCAGGCGCTCTGAGAAGAAGATCACCAGGCTGGTGCTGATGGTCGTGGCCGTCTTTGTGCTTTGCTGGATGCCTTTCTATGTGGTGCAGCTGCTGAACCTCTTCGTGACCAGCCTTGATGCCACCGTCAACCACGTGTCCCTCATCCTCAGCTATGCCAACAGCTGCGCCAACCCCATTCTCTACGGTTTCCTCTCCGACAACTTCCGCCGATCCTTCCAGCGAGTTCTGTGCCTGCGCTGCTGCCTCCTGGAAGGTGCTGGCGGGGCTGAGGAGGAGCCCCTGGACTACTATGCCACTGCTCTCAAGAGCAGAGGTGGGGCAGGGTGCATGTGCCCCCCGCTTCCCTGCCAGCAGGAGCCCCTGCAACCAGAACCCAGCCGCAAGCGCATTCCCTTCACCAGGACCACCACCTTCTGAAGAGTCCTTCCCCAGCCTGCCCTGCGTGGCCACCTCTCAAGGGGCCGGCATCATTCCTACAGCCCGGAAAAGTGCATCTCCTGGATGTTCACCTAAACTCCACCACCTGTTCCTTCCAGCAGCGCATGTGCCGGCTGGGGAGTGTCAGAAGTCTGCGGCAGCTTTCCTCTCCCCAGCACTCTGGCTTTCAGAAGGATGCTTTGGGTAGGACTCCCTGGGAACCGGGCTAGGATATTCATAATTCCCGAACCTCTGGCTGTTCTTCAAGGGCTGGGAAGCAGGAGGTGGTGAGAAATGAATGGCCCCTGTGTGTGACTCGTCACAGCTGCTGCTTTGGAGAGGACTTAAGAGGGTGAAGGCAGGTAGCACCCTTCCTCTCTGCAGAGGCTCTGCCTTGTGGTGGGAGAACAGCTTGCACAGAAAAGAGGAGGAAGGAAGATGCCCGCAAGTACCTGTTCTCTGTGTCTCTTCCTGGGCTCTTGTTGCTAAGTGAGACTTATGTCAACAGCCTGGGATACTTGCCTCTCTTCCCCCTCACTCCCCACCTGGGGAAAATACCTGCTTGCTGTCACAAGTGTCTCCCTGGGGTGTCCTGGGCTGGGAGCAGCCTACCCGTGAGTAGAAAAGGTTTGGAGAGACATGGCGTGGGGTTTATTGCAAGGCATAAAAGCAGGTCAGTAATAACAAAGCAGAGAAGAGAAAAACCTCGTCTAGCTCCTATGATGTAATTTTTGTCCCCGATCCTTTGATGTGGGAAGATGAGAACTCATTAAGACAGCAATTTATACTGTGGCTGCGAGTGGGAGGGGAGCCATGGGCGGGGAAAGAGCAGAGAGCAGGGAGGGATGGGAACCGGTTCAGGTTTTGCATAGAGGAGGCAGCTTCATCACCCAGTATTTTAGAATGTCATCTTTCGGTAAAACATCAGCCACATTAGATATTAACACGTAAGCTGAACACAATAAAAGGCTGTAACTTTGTTGCCTGATGTGTTAACCAAAGGATAAATCCTCTTCCCCAAGGGGAAGGAGCTTTAATTCTGCTTTCTGATAAAAGCAGGGGAGGGGGCAAAGGAGAACTTGCAACACTATGTTAGCATCTGGTGTGACAACAGAGAAACATGTACGACGTGCTGTTTGTGGGGCCCCACCTGGCTTAACATGCAGAGACAATCTCTGGGTTTAGCCACCGGCCTGATTCTGGATGACCATTCTGATGGTATGGGGAAGATGGTGTGGGGAGGGGGAGACACAGCCAAAGGGCAACACCCTACACTATTTTGAGCGGTCAGCCTCACAAGACCACTCAGAGAATGCACAGCCATGTCTGTACTACAAACTAGAGACATGACTATAAAATGGAAGTTTCACAACTAAGTCACAGAACCCTGTGATCTTGCAAACACAAGGGAACACACACAGAGACATCAACCATCCCTGATTTCTCAGTACCCACCAGGGTTACCTTGGGCGTTTGGAGTCAGTCAGTCCCATGACTGTGGGTCTCGTGTAACCACAACTACTTTGAGGTTTTTAAACTGCAGTATTTCTTTGTTCCTCAGTGTCTGACAATGCCTGCCAGGATGGGCACATGATAAATGTGGTTGAACGGAACTGCAGGGACCACCCAGGGTGGTAGCAGTGAGGTGAGGGGTTCACGGCACTAGCAATGGTCCCTAGGGCTTCTTCCCAGCTTGTGTGTGGGGATGGGGGTTCTTTCTTTAGTCTCCCAGTGATCAGACTGGGCAAACTCTCTGATAAACAAGGCGGCGCACTGACCAGGAGTCTTGGCAACACCAGTGCTTGGCTGCCCAGGTTAGCACGGAATAAGACACATTCTATTTAGAAACTTCAACCTTTTTAATGTAGCTGATGAAAGTTGAAGGTGAGGCAGCTTCAGGTGATGGAAAGAAAAGTCTCTGAGAGGCAGGAAATCTCAGCCTTAGCTACCTTGTGAGTAGTGGTTTAACCTCTCTAAGCCTCAGTTTCGCACTTGAAATAGGCACCAAGGGAGGTTTCAAGTTTTGAGCTCTTCCCAGCTGTAAACTCTGTTTTGGCAGAGATGCTGGGGAGACCCGTGAGTCAGACGGTGGAAGGGTAGGAGGCAGCACGCTCTCTGCCTAGTCCTCTTTCCATCACTGCTGATAAATGCGTGTGAACACTGCCCTTGACCCTGCGATCATGTCATGCAGGTGGTGGCGGGGTGGGGGTGGGGGGTGATCCGATTGACTGCTCTGTTCTTCAACTTCAGGGCCTTTTCAATTCCTGGCAGCAGCAAGGCACCCTGAGCACTCGTCAGGGCTGCGTTTGGAGCCCATCAACAGTGCTGCCAGCTTTACTTCCATCAAACCCAGGTTTTTGTAGCAGCCAGTTGTGTGAAACCCTCCCTTGTAGTTTGTGTGCAGAAGATTGCAGTGAATTGAAGTCATGAGCCATGCAGCCAAGGTCCTGAGAGCCATTGACCTTTGTCACCTGCTTGGGAGGCTTACTTTGATGGTCATCTCATTCTGCCTGCTAAGACCAGGAGTCGCAGCTTTTGACATCAATGTGAATAAAAACATTTCCTGCCAAAGGTAGAAACAGCCTTTACTCATCCCTCCATCCATCAGAGATCTTGCTTTTTCTTTTAAAATTGCCGTTGATTTACTGTTCCACGACAAGCCAGGTGTTACATGTTCCCAGATGGTCAGGAAGATGGTAATTGGACGTGACAAGCTGTCACTGAACAGTATAATTGCCCAGTTTGCTCTGATCTGTGAGCAAAGATGCATATGCCTTTCACACTTGTCTGTGAAGTCCTGGCTTCACTTTTGTTAAAGACATCATAGCTGGCATTCCTTAGGTGCTAGAGGTGTATGCAAAGGATCGACTGCCACGTTTTGGCAGCACCGCCTCAGAAACCAGACGTGAATCCTAGCAAAGGTGGCCATAGACACTTTTCTCTGAGAGGTTGGAGGTAGTGAATCACTCCTATCTCCCACATTTTCCTGCCGTAAGTAGATGACAGTGTAGCCTCCGATTCCTTAAGGACAAATGTCAGATTCCTAAGGCTGAGTTTTCTGAGACAGCTCCGCTGTGTTGTACACCGTCAGCCAGCAGCACACCCCGGAAACCGTCCTGCTGACCTGTGTGCAATCGGGGATACAAGCAGACAGTTCACTGAGTGCTTCTGTCGGGTGGGGCAGCCGGTTTTGAGACAACACAGAGAGTCTACACAGGCAGCTTCTGCCTTCACGGAGCTCAGACGCTAGTGGCAAAAGACAGGTATTCATCAAATAAGCACAGAAATGAGGGTGCAGTTCTAAATCTAAGTAAGCACTCTACAGTAAAGGAATCTGCTTTCTAAGAGATGACGATAAAAGAAGCTGCCCTTGACTCAGAGCAGGCTTTCCCCAGGAAAGTGGCTGGAGATGACCTCCTCTGAAGGATATCTATGCATTAACTAGGAGAGGGAGTGGCGGGGCACGGCGTGTTCCTGCAGGCTGTAAGCAGCGAGAGCAGCATGTGCAAAGGCATGCAATAACAAAGCAGAGTAGTAACAGGGGCATGGAAGGGCTCAGTGTGACCAGAACACAGACCGCAGGGATGTGTGAGGCGCCGGCAGGCATTTAAGCAGGAGCCCAACATCTTCGATGCCACCTCAAAGATGAGGACTTTGCCCTAAGAGCCATGTGTCAGTGGGTGGCAGGCTCTAATGAGAGGCTTGGGTCTGCCTGGTAAGAGAAGCCCATCAAAAGCTCTGGGGTCCTTGTGAAATTGAGGCTCGCGCGCCTCCATCTTCAGGGAGGGGCTGGCAGCATGATCATGTCCTTCTTTCCAACTTTCATCAGCTTCGTATCAACTGAAAGGCAGGGTCCTGAATCCTGTGACAGAATTGACTTGAGTGTCTAACAGTCGGGGCACTTTCTGGAATGGGGGAGAAACAATGTAAAAAAAAAAAATCCAAGGTCATCAACAGTGTTGCCTAGAATGGGAGTATGAACTTTCTACACATGAAAACATGTGGCTTCCTATTGTCAACAGACAGCATGCGCATCCACCTGCTGCCACATAGGACTTGAACTGACTGGATTCCTGGGCCTCTATCTCTGCCTGGAGAGTGAGGCCGCCTAAGGTCAGCACTCACCCAGTGTGGACACGTTGCAAATGGAGAGAGAGAACAGACTGAGAGGCACACAGACCGGGCGGGTGAGTCCCAGCTCTCCCACTTCCAGCCCACAGTGGCCCGGGGACAGCTGCATGACTGTGGGGAGGGCAGAGCCACGTTACCCACCTGCGGGTGTGCAGTGACGCACAGGGGCTGCATTCCTGGCCCCGGGGAGGAAGCTCGCCATTCAGATGGTGACTGCTTCATGACACAGAAGGGAGAAGAGGGAGTTGGTGCAGAGTTGGGTGTCCTTTTTTTTTTCATTTTTTTAAAAATCTGGCCTTCATTAGTATTCTGAGGAGGCTGTAATTTCTTTTTAATCTGTTCTTAATTGAAGCATAATTTACTCATGTTAGAGTGTTCTCTTTTTAGCTGTACAGTTCTATGAATTTTGACATGCACATTTTTACATTTGAGTAGCTGTTGCCCCAAGCATGATAGGGACTGTTTTGATCACCATCTACTTCACTCTTGGTGGCTGTGATTTGTGGCTAAGCATGGAAACGAGGGTGCAGTTCTAAACCTAAATAAGCACTCTACGGTAAAGAAATCTTTACAAGACACAGATAGCATGGGAGGACCTGAGGGCATACAGAATTGGAGATGGTGCTGTCCCATCTGGTGGTCCCAGGAAGGCCACCTGATTATACCATTTCTTGAGCTCCTCCCCCCAGACTAAGAGACCTCAACCAATTTACATAGGAAGCTGCCACCCTCTCGACCCTCTGGATGTGAAAAGAAGTGTCCCGGACTCCAGACACCATCTGGACAAACTATAGGGTTGAGTATGTTCCTGGGCAAGCTGCTAATTCCATAATGACTTCGTGATCCTTCACTCCAAGTACTGGAGAAAGAGTATGGGTTCCACTCCCAGCTCTCTTCCAGTCAAAGACAGCAGACTGTTCCTCCAGACCCAGCGCCTCCCGAAAACCACCATTTCCATTTGTTGCTGCCTCCAGGCAGCTTGCCGCTGGGTTTGTGTTGCTCTCTTCATTTTGGTTCGTGTTTATCATATCCTGTGAGGCCATATCCTGTGCTCTGGAGAGTTTCAGACAAATTAAACAGTGAAACCGGGAATGCCCCATGCATGCCTCGGACTTTCCTTTCTCTTGGCACTACCACTGGGTTTCTGCAGTGCTACCTTTTAGGAGGAGGGGGAAAACACGTGAAGAAAGACTACAGTCAAACTCTGGCAAAGACTTACTAAAAATGGTGATTTGGGATCATATGAGCATTTCAGAACAGATTCGTTAAAAAAGAGGGGAACAGTGAATAAGGCTTTGGATCTCCAAAGAGTTCCTGGAAAATTTAATTCCATATTCTCAAAGGAATTAAATCAAAGTAAGGCAGGAGTCAGAGGGAAAAGGGGAGGAATTAGGGAGAATGTTGAAAAGCCCCTCTCCGCCTTACCAAGTCGAACACAGGTTCACTGGGCAACAGTGGGGTGAGTTCGCATTTAGGGACAGCATCAGCAAGAAACCAGAAAGCTTTGAGACAGGCAGTTACGGAGGCTGTGTTGCCAGGCATTGAATATGCAGAAGATAAGTGAGTTTTGTCTCAGGATAAGATCTGTATAAAATTTCCTATTTTAACAGAAGATTTTCATCAGGAAGAGATTCAGAAAAACATCTGGCCTGTGGCCCAGGTGGCATAATTGTCACGGACCCCAGCTTTGACTCTTAATGCTTCTCATTGGATCCCTGAAACCCTCTGCTGTCTGTGTGTTTTGCACTGCCTCCATTGGGCGTGACCTTGAATTAACCCATCCCCAGGGTTCTTTCGTCTTTCACAATCACACTTTCAAAACACTCTGAAAACGATTTCGATTCTGTTAGAGTCTCATGTTAAAACAATATTGAGTTTCTCTTGTGAGAGGAAATCAGTTGTTTGTCTATATCTGAACCTGATAACCAAAAAAAAAAAAAAGGAAAGGAACACTCAAAACAAAAAGAGATAGCAGTGAACCCAGGGCATTCATTCTGGAAAAGAAAGAAAGAAGAAAAAATTGGGTGTTGCCTATATTGTTTTGTGAAGAAATGCCTCTAAAGGTCAGGTGATGTATTTTGGGTACCCCCCACTGAGCTATAACCATGAAGAAAATGTGTTTGCATGTATTCTTTGCAACCTCAGTTTTCCTTGAAAAGATGATATAAGAAGGAATTGCATTAGCAGAGAACAGAAGGTGTCTCCAGAAGGTAAAAGGTGAGGCTCTTCTGTCCCCTGGTCCCATCCACAACCATACTGTCACTCAAAGGACTGTCAAGCCAGGAACCTCCCCGCATAGCCCCCGATGGGAGGCCTGGCTCTGCGGGGGCCAGAAGCTGTGTTTCTTTCTCCTTTGGGCCCTAATGGTTCAGAGCAGTCTGGAGCACGTTCTTTCTCCTCTGAGCCTCCCTGAGAGACCAGCGGACGGAGTCTCTGCCCCCTGTGCTTGACTAGGCCTTGTGAGTAGGGAAAACAGACTGGAGCCTTCGAAGTTGGATTTTACAGTGACTGAGTTTAAAGGTCACTTCTCACCTGGTACAAAAGTCTCCCTATTTAAGCTATGATGGATGCCTGCAAATCCAACACTATAGTTCCTCCAGCACTAACAACATCACTTCCAAGTGGCTGCGTCTTCCCTTGATGAAAGTTTTCACTTTACGAAAACTTGAGTTTACCCCTAAGACACTCACGATTGCAACACAGCTTTTTTCTGTACTCATTTATGCCTGTACCAGTTCATTGGCACAGTGATTGGGCAACTACTATGGGCCAAAAACTGAGCTGACTGCCTCATCTAATCTCTTTGAAAATGTTGAGAGGTAGCTCTGCTTGCACCCTCTCACAGTCTTCAAAGGGTGACGTGGTGCCCACGGCCATGTAACCAGCAGGTGTCAGGCTGGGATCACATCCAGGTGGTATGCTGCCCACACCACGTGTTAGTCCTGTGGGGTGCTTACTGCAGAAACTGTGCAGTTTCTGCCCCAGGGGACATGTAAATATGTCTAGAACTAGTTATCATCTTCCCAAACAATGCAGTACATAAATCGAATCCCCGCATGCTCTTGTCAGAACTCCTTGAGTGCCCCCATTTGTACCTAGAACATTTTTCAATGACATTCTTTCCAAGTCTTCCTTTCAGTGTCTTTGACCTCCAACCCCTACAGTTCTCTCCTGCTGCCTGTGTCTCTCCACCTCTCGGCCTCCCTTGCAGCCAGCAGCACCTAGTTCACTATGCCCAGTACGCTTAACCAGGGCTCTTCCCGGTGCAGCGCCGTCTCCTGAACAGTCCTTCCGGCCTGGACTGCTCCCTCTCCGGTCTGCATTTGACAAACCCCTCCTTCCCCTTCAGGTCTGCTGTTGTGTCATCTTGTCCAGGAAGAGCCCTCCAGTCGTTCACCCTAAATCCTGTCTGCCTCTCGTGCCATTTCAGAGTATGCTGTGCTTGTCTTCCCCTGTACTTATCACTGTTTCTAAGTGAAGTACAATTTGGGGGTGATCAGTTGTTTCATATCTTTCTCCCCTGCCACAGTTTATCTTATATGGCAGCAGCTTCTCATTGTGCCTATCACCATGAAAGGCACAGAGTAAGTGCTCAGTAAACAACTGCTGGACCAATTCAAGAAAAGAGGTGAGGACTGGAGAAAAATAACAAGCCATTTGACTTAAACATTGAATTCCGTTTACTTTATAACCAAAGACTAGAAAACATAAACAAAAGAATACTCGAATGCTGGCTTATCCAGAAATACTACCTTGGCCCTCTTGCCCTGGCCTCTCATGCTGTGAAATATCACAGCAACTGATCTCCGGGAGTCTCTCTTGGACCTGGATGTCCGATGATGTGAACAGAAAGCAGAGACTGCACAGGCTGATCCCATGGCTCTGGTTTCATAAAGTCTACACTGATTGTACATGCGGGGGGATAGTTTTTAAAGCTAACTGATGTGATGTGTTTATGTGGTCCTGGTGTCTTTCTCTGAGAGGCACTGCGGCTATTTAGCTGTTTTGAGAATCTCAAGTTCAGATGAGACCTGTAAACAGAACCATTGATCCCTCAGGCAGCAGGAAGTGAGGCGGGCAGGGAAGCTCAGGGCCCCAAACAACTAATGTCCCAGGTTTTTGCTCAGGACATGAAGAGATTTTGCCTCTGGGTTTTGAAAGTGTGCTTTGGTCTTCCAGTGTCCCTTAAGAAGATGCCCCTCTTCTAGAATAAGAAGAAATCCTAATGCAATGAGCCCTTGCAAGTCAATTTGACAGTGACTGGGAGCTGACCCTCTTGAAAAATAGAAGGCTGGGTATCAGGAGCAAATTGTAAGGTGTCACTGTCTCCTCTGGTCTCCAGCCCCGTTTATCAGCGACTGTCCTGTCCTGCTTGTGTAGCTCTTCCTTCACAAAGACTTAGTCTACTCCTTAGGAAGAACTTGGCTCAGCTTGCTATCTCCACAGGGCACTGTGCATGGCAGCTGCCCCAGCACGCACACACACACACACACACACACACACACACACACACACACGCAAAGTCATCACTGCATCTGTGATGGATGCCAAAATCTCCAACCCTGTTTTCACAATAACCACTCAAACTAAAACTCACAAATTCGGCATTATCTAGACATGTACAGCATTTGAATGTTTGCCTGGGCTTTACTTTCTTTTACTTTTTTTCTTTAAAAACTCTTTCCGAGCCCTACATATTGCATTGAGCCAGCCCTGCCATCCTAGGAAAGTGAGCCCAAGAAATGTGTGCGTTAAAAAGGCAATATTTTTAATCTCCAACAGAGATGGGAAAGATTTCATACCTTTAGAAATGAACACTTGAATTAGAGCCACCAACTGAGATCCTGCATGACTACATTGAATTTGGATGTCTCGCAGAGCAGATAATGCCAAACCATACACAGGACACACAGCTGGGATTCGCCAGATGCCCCAGGAAAGGTTTACTTAATTCATTCCAACAAATGATCCTGTAATGTACTAAAAAGCACAGAAAACAAGTCCTCATATATGAAGTTGTTATGGTTACAGAAGGAAATAAATAAATATTTGTGCATACGGAGATAGCATAAAGTCATTCTACAGTGAAAATAATAGCCTCCGGAAAGAGCTTTGAAAATCAGAGAGGGTGCCATCATCAGACAACAGGAGTGCTGGGGTGCAGGGCAGCCCTTCATGCATCTCCACAGCATTTGCATGGTTTAAAATGAGGAAACGAGGGGAGGACAAGTGAACAGACACACAACCAGATAGCACATTGTAATTTCTTTATTTTGTACAAGTGATGTCATAAGCAAGGGTTTTGCCTGTGTTCTAGTTTATCTCCAACAAATAAATAACTATGTACAAACATGTAGAGTTTACAAAATAGAAGATGAAAATCTTTGTCTTAGAAAAGATACGTTTCTATGATACATTTTTTTCCATACACTGAAGCAGGATTTCATTCCTAGCTTAGTTGAACCAAAGGCCTTGCAGATCCTGTGTGGCAGTGTCTAGATATGTGTACCTAGTCTTTTCTACCAGAGAGCAAATCTACACAATAAAAATTCCTCAGTTTCTTGAAAATAAGGGCCTAGACTTGGCCTGCTACTTATAACTGATCCATATTTAATGTATTCCAGAAAATCGGAAGCAGTCTGGAACCATTGACCTCAAATTACTGAGCAGACCCATCCCCTGCTGATCTTGTTAAATATAAATTCTCATGAACTGGATGGGGTGGGGCCTAGGATTCTGCATCTCTAACCAGCTCCCACGGGCAGCTTCCAATTCTTGTTCAGGGGCCACATTTCAAAAGGCCCCTCTGAAATGGCAGAAATTCTCTGAGGACCTGATTAAGGCTAAGCTCTAATTGGGCATCCTCCAGGATCTATTCCCAAGCTCGCTTCCATAAGACCAGTAAAGCTGGTTTTTATTTAGGTCTACCAGTGACAAGAACAGTGAGAGACAATTACCAACTGGCATGAATCACGAAGCTCAAAACTTTCTTAAACTGTCACCTGGAAGGTGCCTGTCTCTTCTCTCAATCCAGAGCAACCTTCAGAACATTTTCAACACTGTCAAAAGTAAGTAATAATAACAAAAAAAGAAACTACATAAGAAAATTAGCAACAATTACAATTTTCAGTACAAATCAAAGCAACCACAAAGTTCAGGCTCACTGTTCAAAAAAACAAAGATAAAAATCTCCTTGGGTGTAATTTCTGTGACAGTCCAGCAACATTAATTTAATGCATTTTATAGCTCAACCTTTGTTTAAAATTATTTTGCACTGAGAACCTGAAATTTCAGGATAAATTAGGAAATCTGGTGAAAAAGCAAACGGTCACTGTTATTTTTAGCATTTTTGTTTCTGTTTCATGTAGGAGTTCTGTCTGAGCAGACAGCTAAGGGCAAAAGAAGTAGGGTCAGGCACAGGTAGGATGCCACAGGTAGGGCGACTCAGGTGAGCTGGCCCAGTTCCTGAGAGGAGAAAACTAGGAAGAATGGCGAATAGATGGGGCTTGCTTCATAAATGTGAGAGGGCTAGGACAAAGAATTCACTAAGATAGTTTATCTGCCACATGGCAAGTGGGAGTTTGTAGAGAGACGGGAGAGGTGGGCAAAGTGGATACTGGAGACATACAAGTAGGAACAAAGGAAACAAACAAAAGCCTAAATACTTAAAAAAAATAAATATTTTGCCCATCCCTAGCCCACGAGGTCAAGATCTGCCCAAAGGGCCGCCAACCAATAACGCTCACCCTCCTGCGCCCAGTGGTGAGGAGCTGGGACCCTTCGCAGTCTTTGTCTTCGTCGTAAAATCGTCATCTCTGCCCAGTGGTCCAGTGACGTCATGGAAGAGGCTGAGGTTCATTCTCCTCCCTCTAATCACCCCCTCCCCATTTAGGCACGGAATCAGAGAACACAGCGTGGTGGGGGCGGGGCGAGCCTTCTCCAGCTGTCATCCAGCTAAGGTGCTCTGGGTAGCGGTGGAGTACAGCTGAGGGTGAGGAGGCACAGGAGCGAGAGAAAGGCCACGCCAAAGCCTGGCTCCTGGAAGGAGGTCGCTCAGAGTCCCTGCGGCGTCTGCTCGGTCCGCACGTGCTGCAGCACTACCTCCTTGGAGGGGGCCGCGCACTTGTACTCCATCTTGGCCCTGGTGGCGCCCTGCTTCTTGCGCAGGTGGCGGAGGAGAGCCAAAAGCGCCACCACCAGGGACAGGCTCGCGATGGAGATGCCTATGAGCACGCCCGAATGCACGCGCCCAGAGGCCGGGGGATTGGGGGTGGAGCCCGGCGCCGAGCTGACGGGAGGCTCTCCAGAGCCGTCGTCGCCTCGGTCCACCTTGTCGGTGTCACAGTCGGTGCCAATCTGGACGGTAAGGGCCGAGTCGGGCCCGCAGACGCACTCGTAGGTACCGGGGAGGTTGCGGCACTCCCCGGAGCAGAAGCCGCCGTTTTCGCACTCGTCGATGTCGGTGCACATGAAACCTTCGTCCAAGATGTAGCCTTCAGGACACTCACAGTTAGACTTGGTGTTGGGGTCGCAGTCGGCTGGACAGGCAGTCTGGTTGCAAAACATCTGGCACCTGTGCGGCTCCTGGGGCACGGGCGCGAAGCCTTCGGCGCAGATGCAGCGGTAGCTAGTTTGGCCTAAGGGCTGGCACTGGTACTCGCAGTTGGTTCCGAAGCACGGGTCCACGGGCTCCACGCACTCGCCGTCCACCAGGTCGTAGCCAGCGTAGCAGTGGCATTCGAAGCCACCCTGAGTGTTGACACAGCGCTGCGAGCACGGCTTGGACACCTGCACGCAGTCATCCACGTCCACGCACCGGTGCAGGTCGTCTGCCAGCTGGTAGCCGGTCTCGCACATGCACGTATAGGAGCCCGGCTTGTTGGGGTTTCGAACACAGAAGTGCTCGCAGAGGTCTTCGCAGGACTGGTTCGCGGGTGCGGCGCAGGAGCGCCCGTCCGCCTGCAGGGCGGCGCCGGCTGGGCAGAGGCAGTGGGGCACCCCAGCGCTCTCATTGCACGCGTGCTCGCAGCCGCCGTTCTCCACGCTGCAGTTCCAAGCGCCGGGCGCATCCCTAGTCCAGTGTCCCTGGACCTCCCCAGGCGGCGCGGCGCACGTCAGCTCCAAGCCGAGGGACGCCACCTCGGCGGAGCTGCCCACCGGCAGCGCCTGAAAGTCCGCTCCGCGGGCCGCGAATGGGGTGCCATAGGTGATCCGGACGGCGGCAGCCGCGGTGCCGGGCTCCACCACCAGGGGCCTGCAGGTGGCTGGGAAGTGGAACTCGCAGAGGAAGCCATCGGCCTCCGCATCGCAAGGCTGCTCCTCCCAGACCGGCTCGCCGGGGACAGGGGCCCCAGCAGCAGAGACCGCGACGCACAACGGGCCGCAGGGGGGAGCCCCATTGAGGTCGAGCTCCGCCCATCTGCTGTAGCTGGTGTGGTTGTCTCCCGTAACCCACTGGAAGCCGCGCAGGGGCCCGAGGCTCTCGGGGTCGCCGCAGCCTGGTGGCAGCTGCAGGCCGATCCAGAGATGCGAACCAACGTCGCCGTCGCCGCTCAGTAGCAAGGAAATGACATCGGCAGCCACTGAGGAGCGCACTGTCATTAGGTGGCCCTGCAGTCTAACGCAGATCTGGCTGGCAGTGAAGAAGGTCGTGGGGCCGGGGTAGAGCGCGAAGCAATCGTGCTCGACGCACTGGCTGCCACTGGGCTGCGGCTCTGCGGGTGCGGAGAGCCCCAGACTGGCCAGAGCCAACACGCCAAGGAGTCCGGCCCCGAGCATGTTACCCAGGCGCTCCGTGTGCAGGCGCCGGGGAAAGCGCAGGCACTGAGATGGGGTCGTGCCGGAGCAGAGGGGCGCAGGACGCCGCTGGCTACAGCCTCTCCGGTCCGTCTCAGTCCAGACGCTTCTGGCCGCGGCGCGCGGCCCCTGCGAGACAGCCTCTGACATGCGGATCGGCCCGGGCTCGAGTTTATAAGTGCGCGGCCCTCCCTCCCTGGACGTTCGGGAAAAGGAAGGAAGTGCCTGGTGGGAAGGGCTGAGGCCGCATACTCGGATTGCTGGGTTCTCTGGCCGCCCTGATCCCGCCCTCGCGCATGGGATCACCTCGCCGGGATGAGTAAACCCGGCTCTGGCGCAGGGAGGTTCTCGGGCGGGGCCGGCAGGGGCAGGCGCCAAGAAAGGCCAGCACCCCTGTAGCCAGACGACTGTCCCCGCCCCCACCACTCTGGCCCCCACGCGTGCAGCCCTCCTTCATCTCTTGGACCTCCTTCCTTTCTTTTCATACACGTTGCCGCCACTTCCAAAGAAAGCCCGCTTTGCAGACCTCTGAGAATCGGAGACATCAGCGAAGAGGGCTTTGAATGGGTCGTGGGGGAGATGGTGCACAAAACCTGCAGGACACTGGGAGGGGTGACGGGCACGAAGGGGACTTTGGGAGGGACTGTCTAGGACGTGGACTTCCCCAAAGACAGGCTTGCAAGGAGAGACAGCTGGATCCCGTCCCCTGCCAGGGTGCCTGGCTCAGGCAACCGGCGGAGTGCTTGGCCTCAGAGGACAGTGGGTGTGGCTGGGGTGACGGCACAGGGCGGAGAAGGCTGGCTTAACAGCAGCGCCCTCTGCCCCATGGTTGGTCAGGGACCCGCGAGTCCCTGGGCAACCCCATCTCGTCGCGTGAGGAAGTTGCGGGGACACTATCAGGGCACCTGAGGTCCTGACCTCGTTCAGAGGCCGTGCAGGTGAATTGCTGCGGCGCCAGGTAGGGGCGGGCGCGTGGGAGCGAATCAGCCTGACCGGTTTTCGTCCAGCTTCCGAGGGACGGCGCACCTCAACAGGGTGGCTGGCAGCCCCCCGGGGAGGCGCTGCGGGCTTCCAGCGGATCCCCCCCAGGTCAGCAAAGGAAGTTTCCATTTCGTCCAGAGGCCACACTGATACCGAGATGCACAGAAATGCCACTTGCTTGGCAAAGGGCACTGAGGAGCCACGGTCCTGTGGATGGGCGCGGTGAGGAGGGTTGGAGGAGGAGATAGGAATCTGTCACTTTCGACCTCATCCAGCAGTTCCCTTACTGAGAATGCGGAAGAGAGGGCCGCCTCCTCGGGTCGCCCCCTTAACAGTGAGAGGCAGAAGGTTCAAAAACACCTTTGCGTCTCTCCTCCACCGTCCTCACAACGAGCGCCAGGCGGCGGCGCTGTCGAGCTCTAAACAAAGCCAAGGAAGTTGGAGAAGTTTCGGGCTAAAAAGAGTTAAGGCCTGGGAGCGCAGAGGCCTCCCCCTGGGGTAGGAAGCTCCGTACCCCGGCAGCTCCGTGCGGATTCCGCGGCGTTTACCTCTTGCCTCCAGGGTCGCATAGATCCCGGACGTTAAGCGAGAACAGAGTATGGCGTCTACACGTGCGAAAGACACTCACCGGTGGGGTGGGCCGGGCTGGACTGGGCTGACCCGCAGTGACCAAGTGGGTGAGCGTGGACACTCCAAAAGTGAAAGGGGCTAGCACGGCTGTCCCACCCCACACCCTCCAGCGTATGGGGGCAGAGAACCTCAAAACATCCCGCTGAGCTGAGCTCTGCGCTGGGAAGGCCGCCCCAGCTCCGGGAAACCGAGGAGCCACTGGACACAGGGGTCTGAAGCTCCCTGAATGCGCACAGCTGCACCTCACCTGACCCGGACCCCTGGGAAAAGGAAGGGAAGGGCAGCAGACAGGACAGCAGGGCTCTCCCCGGCGGGAGCAGGCAGTTGGTGGCTGTCTCGGCTGAGTCAGGGGTCGTGACTCTGGTGCACAGCCTGCCCACGCGGGACCCCATGCCTGGGGTGCCGCCATGGGGTTGAGGGTGAAGCTTCATATAGGGGCAGGAACCTCTTGGGGACACTGTAAAGGGTCTCAGAATGTGGGGCCAATTTGCGGAGTGGATGAGACAAGAGAGGGCACAGGATCAGTTACAGAATCAGAGACCAGTGCAAAGTGAAAATGTGGGGTCGCTTGTTAAATTACAAGGATTTCAAGACTGTGATAGCAAAGCATTAAACAAGGAATGGGGCCCTGGGGGGTGATAAGCATGTCCCTTCTGAGCCTGCCAGCCCTAAAAGCGACTGAGGGACATTAAAAGATCGCGTCTCACCCCGCACACCGGGCTGGCTGCATTCTTGGATGGGATTCTAGCTGATGCCCCACCATCATGTTTCACTGGACATCCTATGCGGGTCTGCTTATACCCATTACTGATTCTTGCAAAGAAAAAAAAAAAAAAGAAAGAAAGAAAGAAACGAAAAGTGTGAGAACAGCCCCAGTGACTGAATCCACTGAGAACTCAGTGACATCTGTGAAAAAACTTGGATCAACCTATATGAGGAGGTGCAGATTTTGGATGTTTTATATTAGAAAGAAACTAGAGCAACAAGTTAGAAGCAGAGCACTGCTCCGTGGGTGGTACCACAGTGTCTGGGTTGCCCTGTAGAAGGTTGAGTGGACATGACTCATTTGGCTTTCCCACCCATTAGGGCCTTACCCCTGGTTCTCCGGATACCTTTGCCTTTCAGGACCTGCCCTCAGCAGCTTCATTTTTCCTCTCCAGACAACACCTTGGAGGCTTTGCATATTTTAAACTACCTTCTGGTGAGTGAAGGTCCCCGGTCTCTGTTCGCGCCCCACTCCTATCTTCCTATCTGTGCCTGCTGCACACCAGGGTGTGCCACTCCCCCCATCTCTTTGCAGATGACAATTTCACTTCCCACTCCTTGACCCAGTTTCTGGCTCAGCACCCTCACTGTGGGTCACCAGCGAAGACTTGTTTTACTCCTGAAACAGCTTCCTTGAAGGACCCCATCAGGTCCTAAATACTGTTGCCAAAATCTTGTTTTCAGCCATCCTTCTAGAAGCCTTGGTGCCATTTGCACTTGTGACCCTTCACCATTCTCAAGGCTCCTCTTCCAGTAACTTTCGAGACACGTGTTTTCCTCCTCTCCTCTCTTATGAGCTTGGGGAGGCCCCCGGGATCCTCTTGCTGCACCCACTAGAGTGGCCATTCTCAAGTTTCTGCTGGTGGCCTTCATCATCTATCTCTACAACCCACCTTTTGGTGAACTTATCCATTCCCTTGGCAGTGATAGCAATGTCCAAGGAGATTGAGGAGAGTGTGTTCTAAAAGGGACCCCCACCCCATCTTTCCCAGGATCGATAGTTGGTCTACTGAGGTTTGAAGCCCTGCATTTGCCTTTGACTTTCTACTGTCCCTCATCCTCTGTCCAGTTTTTGTGTCATGTTTCCCCTGATCACTGCTCCTGCCTTCTCAATTTACGCTGAGACAGTTGGGTCCCCAGCTCTTTTCCTTGCTTCTTTTCTCTCCACCGTGGCTGAGGCCACTCCGATCCTCATCCTCCCTGAGTGCGCTCCCGCCTACTGGGAGATCCCATGCTCTTTCCCCTCCACACTGAAGATGCTCGCGATAGTGCCTCGACTCTGTGGCCACAGATGAGGACATTTGCGCTGAAGGGGCTGTGCTGGGATTTGGACCCGGAGCCTGCACCCCTTCCACCTCACAAGGCTTCAAGGACCCGTGTCTTACTGGACTCCATGAGTGTGGAAACATCCTGGCAAGAGAGGCTCCTGCTCGCTGTCAGAGAAGCACCTTGTCCGCTCACCACCACGCGTGTCTGTTCCTCTGCCAGCAGCATTCTTGTTTTTGCCAGGCTCTTCGCCCATTGAAATCTTTCCCTTCTTTCAAGTCCCAGTTCAAGCTTCCCTATCAGCAAGGGCTTCTGCATAAGCAAACCGGAACTGATCTGTCTGTGACTTCCCATACACAAGACGTTCTGTCAGCTCCTTAGTACTCACCACTCCCTGCCTCCTCTGTACCTAATCATGCATATGCCACACGGTTTGCTGCACTTGGAGTCCAGATTCCCACACATCATAGTATCCCCTTACACTTAACAGCACACTTTGTAAGTCTGCAGTGCCCGGGACGTATCGGAGCACCTGTGGTGGATGTTTCTTTGTCCTCTCCAGGGTGATTTTCTCCCATTCACCTGCAAAGACAAGGGTGGAGGTCCTCCAGCCTCAGGGTTAATTAAAAGGGTGGACTTCGAAGCCAGCTTGGCTGCCTTGGAGACCCAGCTCCAGCATTTACAAGTTTTTGTTTGTTTTAAGATTTGACTAATAACCCCGCCCCTCTGTGCCTCAGTTTCCTCAACTGTGTGATGGGAATAGTCCCTCCTTCAAAGTGTTAGGATGCAGATTAAATGGTTTATACATGTAAAGCACTTAGAACGGAGGAGACATAGTCAACTCTTAACAAATTTTAGCAAAAAAGAAAACACTCAAGTTCCTAGAAGTCGGATTTGGCCTCTGATTGTACTCGACCTCCAGCATGGTTCCTTGTCCATGGTAGAGACTCACCAAATGTCTGTTGGATTAAGTTTGTTCCAGTCAAGCAATTTCTATGACTAACAACAATCAGTAATTGTGAAAAAATCAGGGACGGAGACATAGGGAAGAACTTGAAGCAGGTCCTGTCTCAGGCTTCCCATCTGCCCCCTGGAGACATCCATCGTGACTGTCCTCATTGCCTCAGGTGTGGAAGCTGAAGGCCAGAGAGAATCGGTGACTCTCCAAGGCCACACAGCTAGTACGCGGTGAAACAAGGCTTCATTCACCATCCTTACATGAGAAGGATGAAAAAACTACAAACTACAACGTGAAGTATGTCTGAGTCCCTGTTTTGTCACATACCGCCGACTTGCCTAAGTTATTTCACTCTCTGGTGTTCTTTCCCTAAAACTGGAGAGACAATATCTAATATGTAGCATTAGTGTCAAATCAAAACAGAAAATGTACACACAGTGACTATTGCTTTTCTTGGAACGCAGCAGCTGTTTAACAAATACAGTTGTTACTACCTGTAAAAAAGCTTTATCAAGGCTCCTGTGGTCACTGGTATCCATCCAAGAAGTCTGGGTTTTTATTTATTTATTGACTGATTGATTGAGTTTTGAGACAGAGTCTCAAAATCTGTAGCCCAGGCTAGAGTGCAGTGGTTTAATCATGGCTCACTGCAGCCTTGACCTCCCAGCTCAAGTGATCCTCCCACCTCAGCCTCCAGAGTAGCTGGGACTACAGGGA